TCTTTGCTCACAGATCACAACCCGTTGGTGTGGCTGAACCGTGTGGCTGGAGACAATGCCAGGCTGCTGCGCTGGAGTTTAGCACTACAGCCTTTTGACTTTACTATCCATTATCGCCCTGGGAAACAAAACGGTAATGCCGACAGGTTATCCAGACAAACAGACCTTGAGAAGTGATCTGTGAGCCCTCCTCCGGACATCCCCAAGCCGATCCGTGGGGATCAGACTGTGTATGCCGGCTTGGTTCTGGGGGAGCATTGTGGCAAACCTAGCCACTTGGACTATAACCAGAGACAACCTTTAAGGGTTGCCTGCATGTCGGTGGAGATATGTGTTTAACTACGTACACTGTATGCTGACTGTAATATCTTGAATTGCCTGTATTTGCTATCCGCCGAATGCGGATAGCTATTTGTATGGGGTTTTCCTTTCGTTTCACGAACGGCACTTTGGAGGGCCGTTCGTGAACCGAAAACATGACCCCTAATAGCCCACACACTTAGAGTTGCAATCGGTAATTAGAGGCTCTCCTGGGTGGCCGTCGTTCGACTACCGACCATGCGCGGTCGGCCATCTTGGATCCTTTGTTCCCTCAGCGGTGTTAGGTCGTCGAGCGCATGGTACTAAAAACGGCTACTCGACGGCACGAACACCGCTGAGCCTCCAGGACGTTCGGGAGTTCCAGGCCGTTCGGTATTTCATTCCCTGGAAGGCAATCGGTCTTTTTAATATGTTTCTCAATAAATGTGTTTTTCGTGCGGCGTTCGGTTATTTTAGCTGGGATCTGAGCGGTAATCTCACGAATGATGCGCTCAGACCCCAGCTATCTACCGAACGTCCATTCGTGAAAATAAACTGTATATTCGCAAAGTTACGGATTTTTATATAAATTGTCGGTTCTGCTGCACGGAGGGATAATCCACTTAACGGTATATTCCAGGAGGAGGATCCCTCTCGTGCAGCAGTGCCTGATGGGAGAAATGTGTTGTACTGTAAGTTCCCCATGTAGTCCCCTCTGGGAATGCCCCTGGGAGGGGACTCAGGAAACCCCTTGCATGGGGACTTATAAATTGTGAAGCAGAATTAAAGGACTTCAGTTGACTCTCAGAACTGTGTTTCGTCCAGTTACTGTGAGGTTGGGGATATTGCCTTGTTGTTTCAGCGCTTGACTGTGGATTACTTCCTGAACCAGCAGAATTTGTGGATTTAATATTGGCGTTCCGCTACAACAGGGACCTTGCACGAGTCGTGGTGACCAGTGGTGTATCCTGTGTTTGGTGCACCCCCCTGCCCTGCCGTGCCACCCCTCCACACCTCCCCTTCCCTCCCTACTGAGCCCCCACCCCGCCTTTTATATACACATACACACTCACTCACTGACAGACACATATACACTCAGTGTCAGACACACACATTCACTGACAAACAGACATACACACTCACTAACAGACACATACAGTCACTAGCAGACACACACATTCACTAACAGACACACACAAACAGTCACACACATAGTAACACACTCCCTAACAGACACACACACTAACAGACACACACATTCACTAACAGACACACACACACACTCAAATCTTCCTTCCCAAAAATATCCCTGGATACTATTACCCTCTGTTTAGTTTCTCCGTGCCCAATGATTTCACCCAATAAATATATCACCACATCTGGTATATGTGGCAAAACGTGCATTTAGTACAGCTAGGCAGTGATGCTATCCTAGCACTACTCATTGTGACAGAACCATCTGTCTGGTTATTGCAGGTGTATTCGTCTGTTTCTGCCCTGTTCGTGTAAATGGCTGTTTCCTATAGCCCAGCCATACGAATGACTGTTTTTTCCGAACAAACCTACCGAACGGACGGCCACCCAGGAGAGAAGTGTGCTACTGGTTAACCTATTGATCCCAATTAGAACGTTGTGGTTAACCACAGACACTTCTCAATTAAACCGAATTCAGGGTGGTCGTCGTTCGTATGTCGACCACGAGGCAGCGGCCATTTTAAAATGCACGAAAGCCCAGCGGTGTTCGGCTCTATTTTCATGGAACTAAAAACTGACACTTTTTCTGCCGAACACCGTTGAAACAATGGAAAGCCTGGCTGCCTCCACGAAAGCATATGAATACTGTCCGTTCGGGAGTTTTGCAGCATACGAAAGAACTTAACCCAGATAGCCTTCCCATGGAGTCATTCGTATACCGAAGGACTGTAAGAACTTTGACTCCATGGCGATTGAACTATGTGTGTGGGATCTGAGCGCTATTCGCTAATAATATGCACTCAGATCCAGGCTATCTGGGGATATGTGATGCGAATGTGAAATGTTCGGTTTTTGTAAAGTTATGGATTTTTATGCATTTTCTGGTTTTATATTTAAAATGGCGACTGGCTTTGTCCTGGAGATAATTGTGTTACTTCTTAATTATCTCCAGGGCAGAGGGGAGGAAACCATAGTGTATTGTGGGTAAAAGCTGTGACTGTATGTCTGGAATGTCACCATGTCTGTCTGTCATTACAGTCTCCCATTTGGTCCCCTAGGGGAGTGTCCACCAAGTGGGAGACCTGCATAAATACGGGCAGGTAGCCCACAGTAAAGCCAGATCCTGTTTGACCCTCAATGTGGAGCTTCTGTCTCGTTATTCGGGGGATTTATTATTTGCGTTTAGAGACTACTGGATGGAACCGAAAGCCGCTTGGTGGATGTTATTGTTCGGCGGCTAACAGCAGTTCGTGGAGTTCCGTTCGGGAGGTTGGAGCCGTTCACGGATCCCGGTCGGGAGATTGCCGCTTCCCCTGCGCTTGGTTCGTGCACTGCAGTTCATGCGAACGGAGATTATTGGTATTGCAGAAGGGGAAGGTTGACTAAACGGCGGTTTCGTTTAAAGACACCAGGGGTGTCTTAACACTCATGTTAACTCATGTTAATGAACTACAATTCCCATTACACTTAGTCTGCCTAGGACATGTCAGATCATAATGTGAACTGAAACTCATCAACTTTGAGAAATGTATGAGGTAGTCAATGGCAATATACTATGTGTTCCATAGACCATATCAAAACTCACATAGGAGTCTTACTCTCATGACACTCAGCAAGCAGAATTCTCGGGCCTGTTGTGCTGAACATGATGAGAGTTGGGTGCTAGGAATAAGTTAAAGATTCCATTTTGTAGTGAAAACAGATACAAATAGATTGTCATCAGCAAAGGAAGTCTTCTATGAAGGCAGCACACATTGCATGAGGTTTGTGTTGAGTCAGTGTCATGAAGGATATGGTGTTTCATAGCATGTTAGTGGAAAAGACAGTCATGTTCCCCAGCTCGTGTACCACTTGCTGATTAATATTCTGTCACTGCGTCCCTCAGCATATAAATCATTGATCCCACCATGGGGCAGCTGACCTGCTGGGTGAGAATTGGGCCTCTATCTATACACACGTCATGGTTCTAATGTCACCGCAGCCCTCCATACCATTGTCTATACACCTACACACACACACACCCCCCCCCCCCACACACACACACACACACACTAACACACTCCCTTTCCCCTGAGTGCTCTGCTCAGCTCCCTCGCGCGCCGCAGATTGATGCCGGGAGCCGGAATATGATATCTGGGGCGCGCGAGGGAACTGAGCAGAGCACTCAGGGGAAAGTGCTCCCTCGCCAACGCCACCCGCCCAGCAGCCCGCCCACCTGGCTTGTCAGTTAGTCAGTCAAGACATTTGCCCTGGGCATTTGGGGGCGGCTTTCTTTGCCACCCCCTCGAAAATGCCGCCCAAGGCAAATGCCTTGTTTGCCTCGCGGCTAATACGTCCCTGGTGGTGACCTCTTACCCTTCTCCCATATAAAGGTTCAAACGGAGTAAACCCTGTGGATCCCTGCTTGATAAGCAAATAAAAGGTGCAGTAGGAATCTTTCCGATTCTCGGCAAGCAGTGGTGAATGTCCTCAACATTTGCTTGAGCATTCCATTGCACTGCTCGCAGAGGCTGTTTGTCTGTGGGTGGTATGGAGAACTCTGGATGGGTTTTATCCCACAAACCTTCCATAGCTGATGTGTGACCTCCGCTGTGCACTGGTTTCCCTGGTCAAAAAGAATCTCACGGGGAAATCCAACTCGGGAAAAGATTTGTACCAGGGCATTCACTACTGTCTCAGCATGTATATTGGTCAGCGTGACCGCTTACAGGTAAAGGGTGGCATAGTGGATAGACTTTTTACCTGAGGGACTAGGCTTAGCTAGGGGTCCTACAATATCTACCGCTACCCAGCTGAATGGCTCCTGAATGATCGGCATGGATTGTAGCCGAGACTTGGGGTGGTACCAGGGCCGGATTAACATAGGGGATGATGGAGCTGTAGCTCTGGGCCCAAGCCCATAGAATAGGCCCATTGATTTAATTAAAAAAAAAACTGTACATTTTTTTACACAGTACTTTTAGGGTTGCCAGGTATTTCTCAGGTATTTCTTAGGGCTGCCAAGTATTTCTCAGAAGTATTTATCAGATATTTGAGGCTGCCTAGCCGGTGCCTGTATTGCAGTAATACCGGCAATACAAATGTCAGTCTCAGTATAAACTGAGATTATACTGGCACCGGCCAGTTGCTGGCACTGTGTGTGTGGAGAGAGGCAGGGATAGGAAGTAACAGCATCTTCCACCCTGCCTCTTTCTACTCACTGATCCGCGGGGGAGCAGCTCTTCCCAGAGAGTCCAAACAGCAGTTCCCAGCCTGCAGAGACAGTCAACAGATCAGGTAAGTGAGGGATGGGGGGAAAGGCTGCAGGGAGACATGGGGACACAGACACTAGGGAACACTGGGGGACACTTTGACACTAGGGGACACTGTGAAATATGGTGACACTGAGACACTAGGGGGCACTGATACACTAGGGGACACTGGGAGACACAGGAACACTTGGGGACACTGAGACACTAGTGGGAACTTGGAGAACTGGGGACACTGAGACACTAGGGAAAATTGTGAGACATGAGGACAGTGAGAGACTTGGGGACACTGAGACATTGGGACACTGGGAGACATGTGGACACTGAGACACTGGGGAACATGGGGACCCTGAGACAGTGTCCCCATGTCTCCCAGTGTCCCTGGTGTCTCTGTGTCCCCATGTCTCCCAGTGTCCCTGGTGTCTCTCAGTGTCACTAGTGTCTGTGTCCTTAGTCTCTCAGTGTCCCCATGTATCTCAGTGTCCCCATGTCTCTCCCAGTGTCCCTTATCTTATCAGTGTCCCAATGTCTCTAAGTGTCCCTTAGTGTTCTAGTGACAAGGGGAAACTGGGAGACATGGTGACACAGACTCAAAGGGACACTGGGAGACATGAGGATACAAACAATAGGGGACACTGGGCGACATGGGGACACTGAGACACTAGGGAGCAATGAGAGACATAGGGACACTGGGGGACACAGGGAGACATATGGACACTGGGTGACTTTGAGACCTGGGAGACATGGGGCACTCCCAGTGTCCCCATGTCTTACTGCCAGTGTCCTTAGTATCTCAGTATCCCCATGTCTCCCAGTGTCCCTGGTGTCTCTCGGTGTCCGTAGTGTGCCATTGTGCCTAGTGTTTAAGTGCTTCCTATTCTCCCAAAGTCCCCTAGTCTCCCAGTGCCTCAGTGTCCCAGTGTCTCTCAGTGTCCCCATGTTTCCCAGTGTCTCAGTGTCCCCTAGTATAAAAGAAAATATATCAGGCACTCATTGTGATAGATTTAAGCAGGTTTATTGGACACCGCAACGTTTTGACCTGTACCCAGGTCTTTATCAAGACTTAACTGTCCTCTATGTGTCACAGTATCCCCTATGTATCCCAGTGTTTCAGTGCCCCATGTCTCCCAGTGTCCCTGATGTCTCTCAGTGTCTGTAGTGTCTCAGTGTCCTTAGTGTCTCAGTGTCCCCTGGTCTCCCAAAGTCCCCTAGTCTCCCAGTGTCCCCATGTCTCACAGTGCCACCAAGTGTCTTAGTGTCCCCTAGTATAAAAGAAAAAAAATCGCAGGCACTCACTGTGATAGATTTCAGAAGGTTTATTGGACACCGCAACATTTTGACCTGTATTCAGGTCTTTATCAAGTCTCCACTGTCCCCTATATATCCCAGTGTCCCCTTTGTATCACATTGTCTAAGTGCCATATGTCTCCCAGTGTCCCCACATGTCTCAAAGTCACCCAGTGTTCTCATGTCTCCATTTCTTCCAGTGTTCCCAAGTGTCTCAGTTTCACCATGTCTCCCAGTGTCTCAATTTCTCTCAATGTCCCCTAGTGTCCTAGTGAAATGGGGACACTGGGAGACTTGGGGACACAGACATTAAGGAACTGGGAGAACTGGGAGACATGAGGATACAGACATGCCTCCTTTTTGGATATTTTCTCCCCATTTTCGGCAGTTCTTGTTATGTAATTTGCATCAGTGTCCCATCCTTTTACCCCGTCCATAGACTGCTTTACTGGACACTGCTGTTAATGGGTATGGATTTACTTGAAAGATGAAAGTGTGAGATTAGCATAGGGTATGTGTTTTCTCATAGCTGCTGTAAAGGATCCTTCTATTCATGCAGTGCTGATCCTTGTAGCTTCTCCCAAAATCCCGCTGAAACAAAGTGATTATCGCTTCCAATCCCCCAAACATGAGTCGAGACTTCATGAAGGGGTAAAATGATCTGATTTAATGGGGCTACCTGCCCGGTATTTATGCAGGTCTCACACCTGGTGGACACTCCCCTAGGAGACCAGATGGAAGACTGGGACACAAGAATTACAGTAGCCAATCGCAGTGGCTCTAACATAAGTAACTCCCTCCTTTCTATCCTGGAGATAATTAACTTAGTTAGTAAAAGGAACCTTAATTATCTCCAGGTAGAGAAAAACATGGCTTTTCATATATTCACCAAACAGCATAAAAATCTATAACTTATATTTTATTGCACTTAAACTTTAAGTCCCACATACCCCCAGATATTATAGGCGAATAGCGCTCAGATCCCACGAACACAGTTCTCAATATCGTTGAATGAAGTTTGGACTTCACCGGCGGTTCACGTGTTTGTATCCAACAAAGAGTTCCACAACTGTAGCTATCTGGGGTCGGTCTATTTCGCATAAATCCAAGTCCCGAACGATGAAATGTTCCCGGCATTTGTGTGTTTCCAGCCGTATGAACGAGGACGTTGGTAGGCATCAGCGGTGTTCGGCAGAATAAGTGTCCGAAAAAAGTTCCAGGGCATTGCCGCCATTTACCGCTGAGCGTTCGACAATTTAAAATGGCGACAGCCACGTGTTCGACAGACGAACGTGGACCACCAAGCTGTTCCCCAATTACTCTGTGGTTAACCGCAAAGTCTGGGTGGTTAATGGGCGCCACACGACCTCAGTAGGAGGTCGGGTGATTCGGCAGTTTATTCGTTTTATTGGTATTTGCACGAAATCACCCCACACACGCATAAGTAACCGAACAGGCTGTTTCACATAGTCTGGTTAATAGGGAATTTCGTTACAGCTGCATCCTATGAGTTTCCCTCCAGCACCATCTCCATCAGAAACATGACGCTTGGGAGGTAGGAGTGTTTTAATGGTTTTTTTTGTCGATAAGATTTTGTAATTAGGCCCATCATAATTGTCAGTACCAGGCCCACTGGGCTCTTAATCTGGCCCTGATAACACATGTCACCAACAAACAGAGAAAGAGTTAACAAGTTATTAAATGTGCTTGTGCTGTATTAAATGCAGGGCATTTTTTCCATATTAGTGATCTTCAGTAGAGCTCTGCATATGGGCTTTCTTGAGAGTGGCAACAAAGAACAAGCCTACATTGGGGTTGTCTTTGGTAATGACACAACATTCCCCACACCAGTCTGGCCCTGGTGTAGGATAAGGATTTATTATCTACTTTTGGTAGCCATGACCATGTAATAACCCAAAAAAATGGTATTTACTCACCCATTGTGTGAAGATTATTTATATCTGATGATTTTATTTCATTGCCTGTATATTTGCGTTTCACATTGTATTGTTCTATGTTCTTTGCACACAGAGTTGAATTATAACAATCTTCTTGGCAATTATTTTCTTCAGTATTTTCTCCTGCGTTATGACTTGAGTCACATTCTTTTGTCATTCTAAGGAAAAAATATAATCTTGTATAACATCACTAAATAATTGCTACAAAACAATGCATTACATCATTATTTCATTGTTCCATAGATAATATTCAAAATTAACTTTCAAAAATTTTATTTCAGAGTGATTCAGACAATATTAATGTTATGCATTCCAAAATTAAAAAAACACACATTACAGACAGAATCTGCAGGCAGGGACATATTACTCTGATATACTCTAAAGTATATATTATAATCTCTACATATCTATCACACTTATTTTACCTGCCCCCTACAGTATTATATCCTGTAAAGCTATTAGCACTACACTGATATTCAACTAAATATAAACTATTTCATCAGCAATGAAAAGGTAATAAGTCGAGACAGTTCAGCTTGTCAAACATTTTCTTTTCTAATAAAATGTCAGAAAACCTAATTTTCCCAGAGCTCCGAGCAATGGGTTGCAGTATAAAACAGAAATTCAGTTAAAAAGACAAAAAAAAGTCCTTCTACTGCACTGTTTGACTTTTCTCTATTTAATAAAACCAATGCTTCCAAATATAACAGTGTCCTCTTACCCTGATAGCCTAGTGAGTGATCAGCTCGGTGAAATTCAATTGAAGAAAGAAACAAAAATGTGATATCACAGGGTATATTCCATTGCTCCTTGCTTCTTAAAATACACCTTTTTTTATCAAAAGTAGTTCAAAAATACCAACAAATTGCAGCACACACAGGCTCCCAAAATGCAACATTTTCCACATAAAGGCCACATAAAGGATCCACCCTTGGCAATGACACACGCCGATCTAGGAAGTGTGCATACTACCACTTATATTATCCTGAGAACCATCCTTTTTTAATTATATGCATTTTTAGCACCTTGTCTAGTGGGTATAAATAGGATAAAAAAACATGAGGTAAGATTGAAATTCCCTTAAGAGTCATCAGGCTGAAATGTTGGGGCTGTGGTTTCCACTCACAGGTCAGTGTACTTAAGGTAACATTTATACCTGGTAACATTTATGGGTTCATTATTTAACCACATTTGGTTTTGTTTTTGCTTTTATATGTCTTTTCTAATACTTAATAATAATGTACACTTATCAATGGATACATATTAAATGTCAGCTGCTTCAGCTCAGACATTTTTTCTAGTTTACCTAAATCATTTGCCATTTGGCTTATCCCAGTTGGAACATCAACTCTTTTGAAAATCTTAGCATCATCAGCAAAAAGACATAGATTACCATCAAGATCTTCTGCAATATCACTAATCAAAATATTGAAGAGAATGGGTCCAAGTACCCCATAGGTACCCCACTGGCAACAATACCTTGCTTTAAAAATATACTCCTTTGACTAGAATCCTGTATTGCCTGTCACTCAGCCACTTCCTAACCCATTCAACAATACTGGAATCGAAACTTAAATATTGCAGTTTATTGATAAGCCTTATATGTGTGACAGTATTAATTTGAAAGGATGAAAAAAGAGAAGAAAGAAGAGCCTTAAAACACCGGAACCCCCCTGGGGGTAACCCCTAATAGATTTACAAAAGGAAAAGAAGAGGTTGAGGATTCCCGTGCTTTATATTACCACCAGAGGAACACTAAAATATGGTGTTAAAACTATCAATTAAAACGTCACTTTTAATATTTTAACTCTAAAAAGTCCCTTAACCCTAAGGGCACTACACACAATTACACCAAAAAATTGCATACAGCTACACACTTAATGGTGCTAACCACCATAAGTAGATGACTTAATGATTTCACTAGAGCGAGGTTAAATGATAAAATGCCCGCTGCAGACTTTCTTAGTCCTTATAATAAAATATGACAAGTCTTAAATAAATTTACCTACAAAGTCTTGCTTTTGGTAAGCTAATTAGAGGGTGTGCAAAATAAAATCCTGTATTATCTTAAGTGGATTTACATAAAATGGTCTTTGTTGTTAATAACCCATTTAGTACAAAAGAAGAATAGATGAGTCTATGCCCGATATCAAATGCTAGTTCCTGATTTCTCAACCATA